TTTGTATCACCAGATTGCCTGCCTGTAGGCTAGTGTTAACATGAAGCTCATGGTGCTTATTATGTTAAAAAGCTCCGTAACAGGCTGGTCTTTCACAGTAAATCCAACCATGGACTATCTCTCCCAGAGGTGAGCAACCAAACTCTGCCTGCCTAAGATAACACTATTGATACGAATACAAACAAGGCCCTTCAACCCATCAAGCCTGTTCCACCAGATCATTGCAGATCTTTAATCCTATTTTCTTATGATTTCCCTATACATTCTTTTCCGTGCACCCCCCAACCCCCACCCCCCCACCCCCCCCTCCCCACCCACTTTAAACACATTTCTCTTGACAATATATCCTGTAAAGCGATTTGAGTCATCTCAGCAATGTGATTAGGCGCTATATCAAATGCAAGGATTATTATCTTGATTTATTCTGTCCCTATAGCCTTCTGTGGCAGTACATTCCACAATTTTATAAATGTTGTCATTTAGCTTCTAACCACTTAATTTTTGCTCCTTGTTTTAAATCTCCCTACCAGGGAGTCATCTGCTGTCCACTGGCTTGCCAATTCCCTTCATTATTTTAAACACTTCAATCAAATCACCCCCATAATCTCCTCAACTCTGAAGTCTAATCCAAGCCTACTCAGCCTCCCATCAAAGGGAAGCCTTAATATAATATTATTATTACTCCTGTAATATGGGAATAGTGAAACCAGAAACAATACTGAAACAAGAAGCTTTCTCTACTAATGTTCTATTTACTGATCTGAAAAGATGTTCTTTGGGGGAGTAATAGTCCTCTGATAGACCCTGTTTTACTTGAACTACAGACTACAGTTTGCTAAAGGTCAACATTTCAACATTTCTTTTCCTTTGGGAGGATCAATTTCCTCCAGATAAGCAACCCAGAACCAGGTTAGGTACTTTTACAGAATAGACTGAGGGTGAAAGAATGATTACCTATTATAGTTAGGTTTTAAGCAATGCAACAGAATAATATTGCATTACAAGCTAATAACTCTTGAGTCCATCATTCATAGTCCTGCCTTGTTGGATACAAGTGCTTAATAAGGATGATCAGGTGCTACTCTATCCTTGTTAGGAAATTGTATAAACATAGAAGAGTGCGGGCAGATGGCCCATTGGATTTTAGTTTTAGGAAACTATTACTTTGTCATCCAGCATCGCAATGAAAGGCAGCACAAAGCAATAGCTTGCTGCCAAGGCCACATGCAGACTGCAAACATTGCCAAAGAGTCAAAAAGTTGGAACAGAAACTGCCAAATGATAAAAGGGATAACAGCTTTAGATTCCAATGAGACTTATGGTGAAGGACATCTCTGTTCTCCAGAATTTAAAACTAAAGCAACGTCCAATTTTAAAAACACGATTTTCACAAATCAAATAACAAATAACAGGAGTTGGATTCCAAGCTATGTCAGCCACCACTGAGATGCATCAGAAATAAATACTAGATAACAACACTCTTGACTGAAAACTCCACTCCAGAGTTCTGCGATGAAATTACATTGCCTGGAATAAACATGTGCATCTCTGACATATGGTGCCCTGAAGCGTGGGAGGTGAATTGGCTTGCCTGGAGAATTGGATATTCTTTGATGGTTTGGCAGCTAAGGCCCTAAACGATCATGAATAAAATAGACCAAAATAGATCAAAAATAGATCAACAGTCTCAAAAAAGGATACAATTTAATTGTGGCATCATATTTTAGTGAAATATTATGAAAAAATTATTATGAAATTACTGGCTCAATGAAAGATCAGCTGAGGGCCTTAAACATAATGAGATCTCAATATATTCCTTTAAGAAATGTCAACTGGACTGATCAGGCCTAAAATGATCTGTTGATGCTATGGTGCAATTTGAGCTTTGGAAATATTTGCTCGGTATCCACAAGGTGTTCCCAATGTTTGGTGAATAGATAAAACAGCAAAAACTGTAAACAGTTCCACTTTGCTTGGGCTCTCACGGTCTTGGCATAGTGATTTCCTACACATGAATGGGACAACAAGTATCAGTATTGATCAGAGAACCAGAGTAAGAATTTTCTTAAACAATTGAAGATGTAATCACTGTACCTCTCATAGGAGAGTTATTTGTCATTTGCCACACTAGTCAAAATGACAAACGACATTCTGTCCATCTGCGACCAGGGCTCCATCTGCCTCCTCATCCTCCTTGACGTTTCTGTTGCCTTCAACACCATTGATCACTCTATCCTCATACACCGCCTCTCCTCTTACCTCAACCTTCACTGCTCTGTTCTTGACTGGTTCAGATTGTACCTCTCAGACGGCCTCCACTTCATCTCCACAAATGGTTTCTCCTCTAGCCCCTGTACCAACTCGTGTGGAGATCCACAGGGCTCTGTCCTTGGTCCCCTTCTCTTCAATATCTATATGCACCCTCTTGGTCACATCATCCACAGACATGGGGTCAACTTTCCATATGTATGCGGATGACATCCAACTATATCTCTCTGCTTCCACGCTCGACTCCAGGACATCTGCTGTCCTGACTGAATATCTGTCAGACATCAAGAACTGGATGAGAGCTAACTTTCTTCAGTTGAACGTCAACAAGACCGAGGCTCTCCTGATTGGCTCCCGTCAGCGCCTCCATACCTCAGGTGCTGACAGTATCACCATCCATGGTTGCACACTCCACCTCACTGAGCCAGTTTGGAATCTTGGCGTCTTGTTGACCCTCAACTGTGTTTTCTACCCCACATCCATGCCAAGACACGCTCTGCCTTCCCCCACCTCCGCAACATCACCCTGTTCTGCCACTGTCTCACATCGCAGGCCGCCAAAACCCTCATACATGCTTTCATAACATCAAGGCTTGACTATGCAAACTCCATGCTTGTCGGCCTCCCTAACTCCTCCCTCCATAGGCTGCAAGTCATCCAGAATTCTGCAGCATGTGTCCTCTCCTGCACCAGACTCTGTGACCTATCACCCCCATCCTTGCCCAACTTCACTGGCTTCTCATCACACAGAGGATACAGTTCAAGATCCTGGTCCTCACCTTCAAAGCTCTCAATGGCCTTGCTCCCCACTACCTCTGTGACCCCCAAACCCCTACCTGCCCACTCCCTCCGCTCAGCGGGCTCCAGCGTGCTTCACATTCCAGTCTCGCCCGGGCGGGCGGGCCTTCTGCTACCGTATGGAACTCCATCCCACAGTTCCACCACCTCGCACTCTCCCTTGCCTCCTTCAAGACCTATCTCAAGACTCTCCTCTTCAACCGTGGTTTTGATCACCCTGCTTCCCCCCCTGCCATCCACCCTCCCCAAACCCGACACCCAGCTCGGGTCCGAAACACTGACTGTCCAGCATCTTGGGACATCCTCCCAATGTGAAAGGCACAATACATATGGAATTTTGTTGTTGCTGTTGTTATACAATAAAGAGACTATTGTGTGGAATATAGACCGAGAGGTGGGATAGGGAAATTGGAGGACAAGTCAACCAGAATGATTCCCTGCTGATTATTTCTGAAGCATTATTGTCTCAGATCTGTGGATAGACAGGTTACCTGTCTGCCTGACTGAATGTAAATTAAGGGATTTTCAAAAGGAAAAGTAGAGGAGGAGAGAGTTGATTGTAAGCATAGTTGAAAACGTAGGTTTTCAGTAGCTTCTGAGGATAGATGGAGAGAGAGTGAGATGGAAAGATTGAGGAAGGGAGTTCCAGAGAGTGGGGAAATAGTGGCTGAAGGCTCGTTGCTAAAGTTGGGATGAGCGTTACACAGCAGACCCAAATGTGTTGAGCAGAAAGGACAAGCAGAACAATGGGGCTCGAGAAGAACACAGTGAGGTAGCGAGATGCAAGGAGGGCATGGAAAATTTTTGTAGGTGTGGATGAGCATCTGGGCAGAAGAGCTTTGAAACATAGAAACAAGAGTAGGCTATTCAGTCCCTCAGGCCTGTTCCAACATTTTATAAGATCATGACTGATCTGTACCTCAAGTCCAGTTACCCGCCTTGTCCCGTATTTGGATGATAAAAAGGTTGGATAGGTTTTAAACCCTACTATTTGCTTTGTTTTCCTTTTCCTTCCCATTCTCTCTTACTCATTGTCATTCTTCCATTTTCTTTATTTTAAATTTAGTTTTATTTAATTTTTAATGTCATTTATTTTAACATTTTCCACCTTTTATGAAATTACTTTTTTTTACTGTGAGTGTTTTTCTGTGTTTTTAATGTTTATTCTAAATATGGACTCCACATTATTCAAAATTAATAATCCTTGCATTTAATCCTAGCACATATAATGTCTAAAGGTATCAAAGTGTTTTACAGATAATTGCTGTCAAGTGTTGTGACAGTGACCAATTTGCATATGGCAATCTTTTCAATCAGTCATGAAGTAAATGACCAATATTTTATTTGGAGATTGTTGGTCAGGAGGCTGAGGGAAATTGCCTTCTTTTTTTGAGTTGGGCCATGGGATCTTTAACATCCACTTGAACAGATAGAAGGGACTCTGGTTTAACTTTACATCTGAAGGATGGCACCTCTGATAATATAGTCCTTCCCCAGTACTGCTGTGGAGAGTCAGCCTAAATTGTGAGCAGCCACAACATGGACCTTCAACCTATAATCATCTGGCACAGAGGCAAAAGTGCTATCAACTGATGCATGTTGACCTCTTATTAATCTCTAAATAGTTGAAAATCTGCTCTAAAAGCTGATTTCTTGGCCATTATTGGCTTAGGAGAGGAGTTCCACCACACAACCAATTCCAAGTCTGAGGTATTTTTCTGTTGCACAAATGGAGTTGGGCTGCGACACAATAAGTTCTAATGTCATCCCATCGAGCTCACTCGCCAATAGTACTTTAGACAGTTATCATTTAATGTTTGCAAAATAATAATTTTATGGGCTAATAAATCATTATTCCTCGTGTTACCTCCCTTTAAATGTACAATAGTTTCAAACAAAGTTAAAGATAGGAGTTGGTGCTCAAGAATATTTTACCTGTTAAAAGTCTTATACTCAGGCAGTTCTGTCTTAGGTGTAACCTCCAGCATCCTGGGTTGTAAAATTGAAACAAGTTCAGGATCACTTGCAATGGCTTCTTCCCAAGGTGTCTGATAGGATTTGGGTACCACTGTTGAGTTGAATTTTTCAGGTGGAATTTCCTTCAGTGGTCCAGTATACCCTGTGTAGAAAGACAATCTCTCACAAATGAAAACTGCGCAACATTTCTAAATCACTGTTTGTCTGAGGCGGTCATTTCACATTACATCATTAGAAATTTGGCTTTGGGCTTCCCTACACATCAAGCTCTTAACCTCTGCTGAGCTGACAGATAGAAGCAGAAAGTGAAAGCTAGGTACTGCCCCAGAGGAAGAGTCAAATACTATCGTTCCAATGTAACCCCCAGTAATCGGCAACAGGGCAACAATGGCAGTAATCTGGCACCTGGTTGACTAGCCAAAGTATCAGTTAGGGAATACTGTTAGGAAATCTCATCATTGTAATAGACAACTACAACCATTTTGAACTGTCATTGTAAACAAACCCATACTTCTTTTATATTTGCAATATAGCTTTAGTGTAAATTATACTACCTTTGCTCTACGTATCTGTAAACTTCACCACTGAATTGCTCTTTGATGTGTTTAGTTGCAGTCCTATGTTTATGGCTTTGTAATACATTTTATATTCATAGCAATTCCATCAGAAGGTGGCCATTCAACCTATCTTGCCTGTGCTGTACTAGCTCCTCCACTTGTGCTAACTATTCTAATCAAAGAATATTTCCCTGCTCGTTCCCCAGGCTATTTTATAGCTTCAAAGTAAGCTCCAGTTCTTAAACAATAAACACAATAATTTCAATAACTCTATATACATAGCTGATATTAACTTACAAGATACGTTTAATATGCACAGTGAAGTGAATTGATTTTATTTATCTTTTACTGTCATTAACTGCTTCAATGAGATCACTGGCCTTTGTTTTGGTTTTGCTAGATTATGAGATCAAGAGGATGACATTTAAAAAGCTATGATTTTTGTGCCCAAGGTTCCTGTCTCTATAAAGACTATTAAAGCTCACTGCATTCACATAAAAAAATGGATACAGACAAGGAGTTCCAGAAAGTCTGCTGATTGATCAGTTTCCCAATGCTTGCGGAATCTGGATAAATAGCCACTGAGACTTCTCAGAGAAAGCACAACAAAATCAGGCATTTGTCCAGCTAATTTTGCTACTTTGTTCCAGTGATTTGTTCTCCTGAACTTAAGGTCTTAGAAATGAGTGAAGGAAAAGAGAGAAGTTCCACAATAAGAGTTGTAAATACAGTAAAGAGTGAGGAGTAATACACTGAGAATCTAAACTGAAAGAAAGGTAGAACTAACAAGTTGGAAGCCAAGTCTTAAGCATGGTGATGGAGGTCCCCATGTGTCAGACACCTGGCTGACCAAAAAATGTAGCTTCTTGCAGCATTTGTTTTGTCAGCCAGGTGTCTGACACATGGGGACACCAACAACAACAACAACAAGATTCCATTTATAGAGCGCCTTTCACGTCGGGAGGACGTCCCAAGGCGCTGAGATCACCATGCTTAAGAGTATTTAAATCAGATTAAGTTTCCACATGTGAATGCCACCAATGCAGGGAAATTTTCCGGTGTCTGGAATGGAATGCACATTCACTCATGGAAGGGATGTACCCTGCTTACGTAATCCTGAAAAGTATTAGGCAAAGGTGTGTGTTGGGTATTGCTGGAATTTGATTAGCTAAAACCATTTTAAGCACTGTCTGGCAAGGTTTGGCATGCCTGATTAATCGGAGCTCAATGGGAAGAATCATTGCCCTAAGGAGCAGCGTGGAGACTGAGAGACTTTATCTGAAAGTACATACATTATAAAATAATCTTAAATTAAGAAAAAAGATTCTCTAGGAACGCAAATGAAGAAACATTTGAAGAAGTGTATGCACCCAGCTGATTGGCCTATTTTATTCTCTCCTGGCCATGGTTTTTAGATGTGTGCCTTTAGTTCCACATTTAGTACATCTGCTTAATGCTTTATACAGTAAACATGTCACAAGATTGCAAGATCACAAGATGGATTTGGATGAAGAAGGTACTTCAAACTGCTTTCATTATTGTTTCTAATGGTAAACATAAGTCAGGGAAAGTTAAATTATTACTGTTCGTGTGATGTCATGTTGCTGCTAGCTTGTTGCATTGCTTCCTCACCACATAGAGCTGCCTTGTGCCTTGGATTCATTGAATACATTTAAAACTCGGCCACTCCATTTCTGGAGCACAAGAGAGGGAAGGTCGTGTGCACTATTGCCTAATGCAGTTTCTCTCACCTGGAGCAATAGCATCTGGATTTGGTGGAGTCCTTGGATCAGGAGTATTAGGAGGTGTTTTAGGGGTATGTTGCTGCCCAACTTCTAATTCATTTCCCACAGTTTTTCCATTCTCCGTTCCTTCACTGTAATGTGTCTGGGAAGTAATATAGCTCTGGAAAAGATTCAAAAGAACTAGGGTACATGTTATAGTGTACTTAATGTGGGTCAATCTTTAATTGATTACATTTTCTCAGGCACTAATTCATTTCCAACTGGATTGAATCGGTACACAGTGTGAGGTCAAAATTCTGATGTGTGATTATTACGATTAGTGATAGCTATATACCACACACTTGATAACTTTCACTCATATATGCTTGTATGCATATATAGTGAATATATTGCTGGCATACGCATATACACATAATGTTTTTTGTACTGAGATATTCCATTTTAATCCTAGTTCAGCATTGCAATTGACACGTTTTTCTAATTTGACCTATTCATTGACACTCTTTCTAATCAAGCAATTTTGTTTTTAGAGCTTATGTAGTTGTTTGCAATGATAACATGACTGGGAAAGTGGGAAAGACTGATTTGACCTTAACTTCAAGTAGATAGATACCTCAAAATATCAGCCTCACCAGTGCATGCCAGTGTTTATGCTCCATGTGAGTCTCCACCCACTGCTTACTCCCTCCTACACCCTTCTATTCCCTTCTACCTCATGTGTATATCTTGTTTCCTCATTAAATGCCTCTCTACTATTTGCTTCGACCATTGTTTCAGGCAACAAGTTCCCACTACCCACTATGATGGCATATTATGGCCTTTATGTGGATCAAGCTTGTGACCTTATTCCTTAAAAAGTGGTATATCAAATGCAAAGATTATTATTATATTTATTATTAACAGCACCACTCTCCAGCCAATTGAACTTGCTGGCCTCAAACCACCCTCTTCTTCTTCTTCTTCTTAAAACTGGCGTTGATTCAGCTTATATAATTTCTAGGAGCTAAATTAATGTCAAACAGGCTGAACCTGGCTGTTTTGATGTGAACTTCAGATACAGTAGCAATGTAAGCAGTACAGACTTCACTTGCTGAGCCAGCAGTGTTGATTGACTCAAACACACTTGAATTATCAATTTACTGTAACAAAATAGAATAAATATAGCTTTGAAGTCCAGATAAGGGAATGACAGTACTATTAATACGCTGAAAACAGTGAGTTTTATTGAAGTAAACAGTAAGTTTCATGGATCCAATGATTTTCCATGCAACAAAGAGTACTGGAATAGGATAAAAGCATGAACAAGACAAGGTTAGATAAAATAAAGTAGCACTGTACTGTGAATACTTACATTCATTTGTGAATTGATGGAGTTTTGGTATCCCTCAAATGTATATTTCTCAGATCTTCTCTGTCTCTTTTTAAATAGCCTGGATCCTCTATTTGACAGGAGAGAAAGTTCTTCCAACATGATGTCCTTGGGAACGCTGATCTTTTTTCCAAAGTCAACATCTATGTCTGTGACATATAGGCAAAAATTAAGCAGAAAGTTAGCATTTCTAAAGATAATCTTTACATTTTATAAAGGTTTTCAATTTTCTTTGTACTTTCACAAATTTTTCCAGGAGAAAATCAAAACCAATATGGAAAACTTCAGCAAATTCACAGTGTCCTCCCTGCCACATAATAATAATAGTGCTTGCTTTTGATATAGCGCCTTATCACGTTGTTGAGATGCCTCAAAGCGCTTCACAGTATACACTGTAACATGAATTGACTGCTTATTTTGTGGGTGAAAAGCGACAGCCAATTGCACACAACAATGTCCCATAAATAGTGAGTGATCAAATTAGTATCATTATTTTTTTTGAAGGGATTATTACCCCGGAAAAGCGATTCGCCAATCGACTAACAACCGGGTTCCGACTTACTGCTAGTAAATAGAGGCGTGTGGAGTAAGGAAACTTGCCCAATGTTTCGCCCTGGCCGGCAATTGAACCAAGGTCCTCTCGCTTGTGAGGCGAGTGCTCTAACCACTGAGCTACAGGACTCCATACGGCAGACTATTGCACACAATAATGTCCCACAAACAGTCGTGGAGTGAGTCACCACTGGATAAGAATATAAACATCCCCCATCTTCAATAGTCATGTGTTCAGAATGCCTTCATTTGAAACATTTGAGACAATTAGGGATTTATGAGTTGCTCACATTGACTTAGGAGTGGGCAAATTAAACTGGAGTCTAATTTGTAGGTTGGGTTAACAAGTCATCTTCAAAATGTTGGGGTTGGATAACCTTGTGCAATTGCATAGCAGGAATTAGAGGTGCCCTTAGCTATGTTTGAACAACCAATAATTACAGAATGCTACACATGGTTAATCCAACTTGGCACTGTTGCACATGGGTTGTTATACAAATCGGACCCAATTGTAGTTCAGTTGCAGTCCCTTAAACCCTTTTTTTTAATACCATATAATTATTAAGCCTTCCAACTGTCTCATCTGGAATACAAGTTTAAATCTTTCCAATATTGAAGCTTTTCACAACTTAATCAAGAGAGGCTTGTTTGCCATACAGACACCAGTGACATTGTTTGCTGCAGGAACTAATGATATGTCTGGCAGTCAAAGTTGTAAATCGGTATACGCATGAGTGAATTTGCTGCTCGGGGAAGTATCTGAGAGTTCACAAGAGCAAACGCTTATACCTGACCTAGAGCAGACTCCTTTGAAGGTCAATTTGCAGTTTACCTCACTACTGGTGGTAACAACAGCAACTTATGTTTATGCAGTGCCCTTCCCAGAGCTATTTTACGATGATGGTGTCAGGCACTGAGCAGGGGAGAGGGGGATACAACTTCAAGACTACAACTAAAATTCATAAGTACATAGGGATCAACGGCAATTTTAAAATCATACATCAAGTATGAACAATTAACCTGGAGGATTGTTAGCCAGGACACTTGGAAAAACTCACTTCATTTCTCAAATAGTACCATGGGATTTTTAACATGGAACAGGCAGTCAGCATCCTCGGTTTGATCCGAAAGATGGCACCTCCAGCAGTGTTGCAACTCCCAGTCTGCACTAGAGTCTCAGTCTAGTCTATAAGATCATTTCCACATGTTGGGCTTGGACCCACAGCCTTGTGACTCAGAGGCAAGAGTTCTACCAGCTGATATAGTGGTACATTGACCTGATACATGTGTTCATATGATTCCAATTTGGCACTCTTCAGATTGTTCAAACAACTCAATCAGTGTTTGCTGTTCTCATTGCTAAGTGTTTGAAATATTTTTTACATGACTTTATACAAGCGAAAGTGGCTTCAAGTTCATCTTGTGTCACTGAAGAACAGCTCCTTCTTATAGATTTGTTGAATGGGGATACTGAATACCACAGTGGAGGCTGTAACCCACATTCCTTACTGGTGTTCTGGTTTATTGGTTGCAGGGCTGGAAAATTCCACTTGGCAAACACTCAGGAGTGACTTACTCAACAGCTTGCGAGTAAGATGTTTTTATCCTATCTCCATCCCTAATTGGAATTGTTTCCTCTGCTTTCTTTGTGTTCTGGGCAATTGTTCCCTGGTTTCTGGCTGCTTTCCTTTTATTTTATTCCCTTTTTAGAATTAATTTTATTTCTCAGCTAGCACTTTGGCAATTGAAAAAAAAGTTTCAGCTGAGTTTTAAATAGTCTCGCTTGCCAATCGACAAGTACATTTTTTAAAAAATGTTAACACTAGTTGAGATGTGAACTTGGTGAGGGTGAGTGATGTGAAAGAGGAAATTGAAAGGCATCGATAAAAATACATGACAATCTATTTCTGATTTTGAATTCAAAGGCGTCATGTCACACCTGATTAAACAGGAGTGACATTTAATGGTATGAGATGACACAACCAAACTGCTGACAGATGTGAGTAACTTACACTTTCAGAAGGAATTGTGTGCAGCTCATTCAATTGAGGAATACATTCTCAGTCTATTTCATTGGGTGGCAGCTTTAGCACCACCAGTTCATGTTAATTATTGGCCAAAACATTTGCCCTTATTTTTTCTTTCTTGCCGGCCGGCATTATATTTAAATGCTGACATTTAAATGCTCAGACGTCATTCTATGTGAAGAACGCTATATAAATGCAAATTGTTGTTGTAAATTATATGGCATGGATTGCAAATGTTTATCAGGCTACTGCAATGCTCCTACCTCCACGTTAAAATTCATTGGTTCTGGATCTCTTATGCTGTGGAGCTATCTTGATGTAGTGCATGGAAGGAAATCTCAAAATAACAATCTATGCATCTTAAGTGCCCTTAACAAAATCTTTATTTCATTGTAAGGTTTCCATTGTATGAATGAATTTTGCCCTGTGTGATATACCCCATACTCTGACCTACCAAAAATCTATCAACCTCACTCTTCAAGGTGTGGATGGATCCAGCATCCACGGCCTTTTGGGGGAAAGAATTCCAGATTTCTACCATCCTTTGAATGAAAAAATGCTTCCTGATTTTACACTAAAATGGCCTGGTTCTAATTTTAAGACTATGTCCCCTTGTTTTGGATCCCCCTACCAGAGGAAATAGCTTCTCTAACATCAAAAAGAAGTATGAGAGCCCGAGAGAGGAATAGTGTCCAACATACCCAATACAGGTGTAAATATAGTACAACGTTTCTAATCATAAGCCTCTGACAGGATTGTACACTAAAACATAATGACACTCATATTTCTTAAACAACAGAAGTACAAGTGCAGAATTAAAACTTTTACTTTTAATACAAGGTAACTTCCCTGCCTGCCCCACCATCAGCGCTCAGTCTCAGTCTTTCTGCCTCCACTCTCTGGAATGCCATCCTGGAGTCTCATCACCTCACCCCTTCCCTCCCCTTTAACATCTGTTCAAGACCTTCCTCTTTGGCCACGCCTTCAGTAATCTTCCCACCCTTGTTCCCTACCCCTCTCAAATACAATCCCCAGCTCGAGTGCTGCCCTTTGACTGTCCAGAGCCTTGAGCGTTTCCTGATGTGAAAGGCTCTATATAAATGCAATTTGTTGTTGTTGTTATGCTGTTGATTTGACTACTGAATTTCATAGTAGAGTTTGGACTGCCCAAATTATTTTTACTTAAAATCTTTAACATCCGAGAAAAGATTTTGATCCATTTAATTTTGTCTGACATGGATTTAAATTGAAACTCAAGGATAATAGTATAAATTCAGTCCTCTTCACAAATAATACTTTGTTGCAGATTTATAGGGAATTTGTAAAGGTCTTAAGTAAAACTAATTAGGGCAGTCGGGACTGAGTTGCCACAGAATCTGCTCCATGAAGTCAATTGGATTTTTGTGTCTTCTTTTGATTAAATCCAAAGAAATAAGACAAATGAAATAACACTATGTCAAGGGAATATTAGAAGACTTCATCAGATTTAGAAAAACGTTTCACCCACTTCTTTTGATTCCACAGTAGGATAGCTATCCTGCTCTCAAGTCTATCAATGACTTTGGAACATCTGATCCATTTTGATCTTCATTCACCTTTTCCTTGTGGAGAAATACCAGACAATAACAGATGTTCATCACAGCCACATCTTGTGCCACATCAAAATGTGATGGTGCTTCAAAACACTGGATTGCTCTTAGGACAAGTCTTTAAATCATAAAAGGTGTTGTTGTGCGAATGTCATTGTGAGTCTCTCAGACATTTGGCCCAAAGTTGTTCAAAACATCATAAACTACATGTAAACATGAAGAATTCAGGGGTGACAATATTTTCACATGAAAAATTATAATGGCTAGCACGAGAATCCAGGATTGCTGGCAGAACTGATGAGGTCAGACCCAAAGATCTTATGACATTCAGATTTGTTTGATGACTGCTTAAACATGGGTTGATCATGTGCATCCAGCTGTAATTTTTTTATTCAATCCAACCATTTGTTTCATGCACACACACACACATCTATACATATATATGGGCACATAAAGCCATGCCTTCCCCCCAAATGCCTATTGTAAGTGAGACTATTGCTGATGTAATTTCCAACCTCAGCCAGATAGCTACATATTCTGGAATTTACATCAGCTGTCAAAGATTCCAATCCTCTGCACAGCTACATATAGTTGTTCAAACCAAAAATAACTTTCAAAGGACATTGGTAATGACAAAAGGATTGCTTACTGTAGAGAGCAAAATATCCCATTGCATTATTTTTGGTAAAATATACATTAGGCATATGACCTTTGAGAATAGACTGGTATTTTAGGTTTAACATTGTGACTTCGGAGAGAATGCCTTACCGTTTCCTTGGATTTCTTTTACAATGGCCGATGCTTGCTGTTTCAGTTCTTTTGTGAGGTTGCTGTAAGATTGCATTGTCTATATAGCTGATGCTTTTATCTGCTGTTGAAAGATTCAGTAAAATAATGTGCATGGATATGTCAACAATACGTCAACAATGGACATTGTTCACTTTAGTTTTCAATGGCAAATATTCCAAATCCTATGAGCTTGCAGCATCATATCAACACATATTATTAAAATGATCTCACTGACATAGTCTTAGGAGAGTAGAAAGTGTATTTTCATTGAATGCATTTCTGAAGAATTCATTATGAATTACAAATGTTCTTCCTTTGTCTTATGAAAATAACATGTTACAAATTATATAGATAGAGAGGATTATCTTGTTCTGGACAAACTGCACTTTTTATTTATTCTCAGACATCTCTCTTGCTTTCTCAAATCTATTTAATACTTAATGGACATTATTTATTTTAACATGGATATTAATACTCTAAACTCCTGATAAGTATAACCATGTATTTGAATTTGTTATTGTTGCATCGATTCTTTGCACTAATAGTGAAAAAAGTAAAATTATTTGGATTGTTACAAGCTGGTGAATGGCAATTTCTTCTCATGGCTCATGTATTAAAACAATATGCTTTCAAAATACTTGGATGAACAAATAAACATACCTGTGCCAAATACTGCAGATCCTTTTGGAAATTGAAAAGATATTTCTCTTCCAATACTTGTTTCCAGTGAAATGGTTTGAGATGTGTCTCTGTGTTCAGAGAAGGACTGATCTTTGCAGCATCAGCTCTGCCGTGGTCTGCACAGCCCCCAACACCAAGATTAACTAGACCCAAGGACTGGCATCAACTTTACATCAAACAGCTATATTTAGCCCCCAGTATTTCAGCCACTCAGTTGTACCCAACAAAAGGTTGAAGTTAGAGGACATCTACTATAGTAATTATTTGTAGATAAGTCTACAGCACAAATCAGCACATAAGCAATCGCATTAAAATCAATCTGGTTAATTTATAGATACAGATATGATCAATGTATCCAACAAACAAATTAACAAAGATTTACAAAGAATGTACAACATGAAAACAGGCCACTTGTTTATACTCCACACAATTCTGATGATGCACGTCTATTTTAATTCCAACTATGAAGAATATATGGTAACCATTTTTGTTTGGGTTTTAATTAATTCGAAAAGTAATGAAAGATCCTTGGAAACCTCTCAATGTTATGGGTACAAGGATTACAAGAAGGTTGTCATAATATCATTCATTAAGTAATCCAATTAAAGTTTGAGGTATTGCTCTCTTATTTGAGAAAGGATGAACAACTACCCAAGATAATTATGAATCAAACCATTCTTGTCATAACCAGCTCTCCTGATAATGCAGCATTCCCCCCAGCTCTGCACTGGAATGTCAGCCTCAAATGGACTTGAGTTCAAATGTATCAACATGGTGCTTCAACCCATAATCTTCTTTTGATCTAAAAGCAAGAGTGCTGCCTTTCGAGCCAGGCTGGCAACATAACATCCCAGCTGAAAGTGGAAGGTCTCATCTGAAGGACCAAAACCACAGAACATTTCTATTATTCACATTTTTGCATTACTTGGAACGAGGCCAAAGGGTTAAGGAAGGCCAAGCAGTGAAGCAACATCCAAACAAGACGGTTCATTCACAACATTAGTTCTTGAAGGTGTTCAAAGCAGTTTGGTGCATAAAGGAACATTCAGTTCCTTTCCAAGGATAAAGCACTCGAAAAATGTCCATACTTCTTAATTGCTACATTCATGTTTTGTAGCATGATTATCTGGGCGGTATTCTATGTACACATTTAGTATTCCAATAATTAACATTGTGATCATATGTGTGGTCTGAGCAATTATAAAATTACAGTGGGTGTGCACATTTGGGCAAATTTAATGCAGAATTTGAAGATAATTGTATTTGTGCAGCTGCTCACTCCTGTCAGATTAAATAAAATGCCCAAAATAAAACATAATTTAGCAGCTGATTACATAGTGCTGTAAGCCAATTAAACCAATAAAATAGTTTGCTACAGTGATAGAGAAATGAAAGGGGGTAATTTTAATTTGTTTTCAGAATGTCAGGCCTCAGCAGCATGATAAATTCAAAAGTCAGAATATTAAATGTTTGTGTTACAAATGCTCTTATTCTCTCCCCCGGCATTCTATTTGTGATTAGCACTAAAATTAAAATTAATGCCATGATGGGAGACAGGCAACATTATTGATTGAAAACACTTTCAATCACAGAGTTTGGACTTAAAATTCCATGGGTATTAAGATATGATGACACAACGTTTATTCTGCACTACCTCATAAGCTCCTCTGATAACATAGTGGGTAAAAATATTGAATAGTGAGGACAAGGCTGTGTGAACCAAAGGTAGCAAATTCTAATTCTGGTCTGTGCTGAGTTAGTTGATCTCTGCCGGGCAGCAGTTGTGGTGCTAAAATCAGCCTCACGGTTCATGGGCAAGGGAGGAGAAGCTATTGTGTTCAGGGAATTAATCTAATGTCAGTCCCAAAACTGTTTGTGCATTTTTAATCCATGACTGTTTTTGTGTATATATATATATGTTTGTACTGTGAAGTATAGTGACTGTATTTATAAGCAAATGAGGTAGCCAACTTGAACACAGCAATGTCCCACAAAAAGCCATAAATGACTAATTTAAGGTGGGGGATAGTTGGTTAGGATGCTGGAAGAAACACCCTTCTCTTTTCAAATAGTGCCATGGGATTTTTAACATGCACTTGAGTAGGCAAACAGCACTTCACTTAACATCTCATCCAAAGAACTAGACTTCCAACATTACAGCGTTCCCCCAGAGCTGTGTTCAAAGTCCTGGCATGGAATAGGAACTTATAACCTTGTAACTCAGAGGCAAGAGTGCTACCAACCAAGCCAGGCTGACAATACTGAGCTAGGCTGTCATTGTTTATCACTGAAAGCAGAAGCTGTATTCCAAAGTTGTAAAGAAATACAAGCTACAGTAGCATTATGACACCAAACAGTAAGTAGGAGGAGGAATAGCTCTTAAAACCACATGACTTTCTTTTGTGGTCTGGAGATGGGACTATCATTAGACTTTGGTATAAGCTTATTCCTCATGACAAATAGTCACCTGCTCTCACTAGAGTTACATTGCTTTTTGGCAATAAGCCCATTATTTTAGTATGTAATTGAGGAAAGGACATGTGTGGTGAATTATTATGAGTCAAATGAAAGCACGTCAAGTACTCTTTTTAAAACCAGCTCAAATTGTCATGAAGATGGATTCTTAGTTAATTGAAGGCATGACTGCAGTCATTTTGTTACAATAATAATCCTTACATTTGATTTAGCACCTTTTCTCGTTCTCGAGAAATCTCAAAGTGCTTCACAGGATATACCAAAGTGGATTGACTATGTATTTGTTTCATCATGAATAAAGGAGGAAAAAAGGTAGGGTGATCATAACGGTTATTTCTCCCCCTATTGCCGTACCTTGTTTTTAATGCAGACATCAGAACTTTGGCAATACACCACTTGCAAGTTACTCAGTGGAAAATCAGGGCAGCTTGTTATAATACTCAGCAGAAATGTTAAAGCTTTGAAGGAAAGCCTGCACAAGCAATAAACCATTAATGAGCCTGGAAATAACAGCAGCCTGGAACTTTTCAAGATCATTTCCCCAAAACATGCAATGACTGGAATTGTCAAGGTATTTCCGTTGGCATTCACGTACACTATGTCCACAGCAGGGCCAGCTGTCATCCACAAGTCTTTCCAAGATGGTCACTCAATGGAGAATAGCAGACATATTCAACCAACTGCAGGGACATTCCAGGATTACTCTGTCCTACAGGGCTGCGTGAAAGCGTAGATAACGAGTGAACCAACACAAAGTGTCTTCTTCCTTCACAGCAACTTCATTGTCACTGAAAATTGGACATTCAAGATGGAATTAATATTGCTGAAGTCACCAAGGAAACTGTGTTAAAACATACTGTGGACAAGCCCAAACAGACAGGATTTACAATCAGAGTACCAAGATCCAGATATAGCTGATCAAGTAAACCTGTATTCATAATCTAGATGCACTATATATGGGTCAAGACCACTTGATTCAGGAATGTGCTGCTAACTGTAGGCTTGCACATTAACCAAACCAAATCCCTTTTCTCTCTTCAAGCACTCTGAGATCCTCCACACTTTACCTTTGTGGAGGGAGCTATATAAGTGCAAGTTGTTGTTGTTGAAAGAAGTGGTTACCTCCACTGCCTGTTTCTGTGATGAATTGTACCTGCTTTTAAAAAAAAATTAGTGGTGTGAGATGTTCAGTCTATAGTAAAGGTGTACATGACACTAATCCTCTGGCTAGTTGACTAATGTGGGGGAGGGGGAGGTTGGGGGAATCTGGTCTAATGAGCTGGAATTTCTGGCTAAGTGTAATTACAATGCACAATTACATTTGCCAATTTTGGGGGGACATTGGTAATCTGGCTCAGTTTATGTCAATGATCAAATGAAATTGGGAGGGGGGGAAGGAGATCAAATTAAAATTTTGTAGGCTATTTTTGGTCAACGGAGTGCAAAAACATATCAGTATGTTTAAAGAGTGTCCAAATCAAACTGAAAGTTGCACTTGTATATGGAAATTTCTATTTGCTTGGTATGGAATGTGTATTCACCTTGAAGGGACACATCCGGCTTTTACCTAATTCCAGAAAGTTTAGACACAGATTGGTAACTTGCCAAAGTGTGTGCTTGGATACTGATGGAAGTTAACCAGCTAAAATTGTATGTATGTTGCCCTTGCGACACTGATTCGCAAGCCTTCTGCTACTTATCCAGTCTTGAGACATTTTGGTAACTTGATACGACGCTACATGATTAATAATAATAATCCTTGCATTTGATATAGTGCTTTTCACGTCAGGAGGACGTCCCAAAGCGCTTCACAGAACACACTGTAAAGTGAATTGACTGTATATTTGTGGGCGAACGCGGCAGCCAATTGCGCACAGCAATGTCCCACAAACAGTCGTAGATTGAAAATGACCAATTTATTATTGTTTTTGGTTTTGGAGGGATTATTATTAGGCTCTGTGTGGAGTAAGGAAACTTGCCCAAGGTTTCGCCCTCTGCCTGGAATTGAACTCAGGTCTCTTGCTTGCAAGGCGAGTGCTCTAACCACTGAGCTACAGGACTCCGCGATTAGTATTATTATTATTAAGATCTAATAAACTAGTGGAACTGGCTCAATGGGCTAAATGGCCTCCTGTTTTCCTATGGTCCTATCTCGCCTAAATTCTCATCCGCACTGAACTCCGCACCCCGATTACTCCAGTCCTTGCCAAACTCCACTGGCTCCCTGATACAGAGCAGATCGACTTCAAGATTCTCACTCTGGTGCTTAGATCCCTCCATGCCTTGGCAGCCCCCTATCTCTCTAACCTCCTCTCTCCCCACACTAGTACCCGCTGCCTCCGCTCTACTGGCTCCAGCCTCCTCCTCACCCTCACCATCGGCGGCTTTTTCCCCATTTTCAGGTTGTGCCTGAAGACCTTCCTCTTCGACCGTGCCTATGGTTCACCTTTCTCCCTCCCCCTGGCTCAGCACCAGGCTGCATCATTGTTAAGCACTCTGGGACGCCGCCCGTCGTGGAGGGCGCTATATAAATGCAAGGATTATTATTATTAAGTTGGTGTTGTTATCCAGATCCATTTTATGTTCTTTTTTCTCTATTTTTAGTTTACCTCCTTACGTCTGCTCTAAGGTCGACAAATGTACTGAAGATCGGAAAATCATCTGTGAATCTGTATTCTTCTTTACTGAAGGCCGGGATGGATTTGTCTGACCAAAAAAT